ATTTGTCATGGGGCCTGCACTAATATTCCCTTAACTGCTCCTCCAATCCATCAGCTTCTCCATCTTTCTGTCATTTTTTTAAAATGATGTTGTCTGCACTGATTTTAATTTAACATTTGTTTATCGTGTCATTCTGTCAGTGCTCTCATTATTAATGCTAGTGGATGGCTGCTGTCCACTTAAGGATTTCTTCTCTCTAAAATATGAGCCTCTGAGCTCTGAGTTGACTCCGAGTCGCCGGTTTAGGACAAATATTCGACTTTCCATGTACAGATCCCTCCTTTAATTGTGGCTCACGCTTTTTTTTTTTTCTCTCCACACACAGATGGTCTTTTTAGCACATACAGACATGCAGACACACAGACCCATTATATGCACACACAGGCACTCTGAAATGATGTGCCTAAGTGTGTCTAAGTGCACACAAATACAGCTTTGGACATATTCAAACACACACCCTCCCAGTGATCCACGCAGTCTACATACAGGGTGACTTTGGCTGTCGCGCAACAGATGGCGAGGCTACTGCCCCCGTCCAGCCTGCGCTCTGTGTCTGTGACAGCGGGCTTAGTCGTCACAGCACCTTGGCAGGCCAGGGGCTGCTGATGCCAGCCTCACTCCTTACCACAGCACTCAGCCCGGCACCCTGGCTGTTAACCCCGCAATAGGAGCTGTTCAACCTGTGGAATAATGGCCCTTTGAAGCAGTTAGCCTGCTCTTTTAATATGCTATTTCTCCGTCCACGCACCAGCTATACTTTCATTTTTTTTCTCACTGTAATTTTCAGATTTAGGAAGTTGGCACAAGAGCACGTGTTAAAGTTCTCTTGCTATTAAGGAAGTCCCTAAAAAGTCATGTACCAACTTGAAATGCCTCGCACATGTTTATAAAGTATGCTACACTTTTGATGCTGCCTTTTGGCTCAGGTACGGTGGCCCTGAGAGGTCAAACTCAATAACTCAATAATGTGACAATGACAAGATGCTTAAAGAACTGGAGGATTGATCGATGTCGTGTGGTTTCCGCCATTTTTTGAAAAAAATTGTGTTTTCGTGATTGACGTAATACTGTAGATACGTGTTTGCTGTTAGCCGCTTACTGTTAGCTCATTACTGTTGTTCCGTCACACTCCTGTTGTTTTCTCAGGGTTCTTTTTTTGTGAGCTTTTGCAGCATTTTTTCCCTTTCTGTTGTGTTTTGTTTGTTTTTCTAGTTGCTGGTGTATTTTTTAAAGTTGCAGCGCGTTTCACCTCTCTGGATCACCTAGGAGCC